TCGTCCATATTTTTAAAGTTTCTAAATTTGACTGACTTACTAATTATGTTTTCTTTTTGAACATTTGTAACACATTTTATTGCTCGATGATCAAACACATAATCACCAGGTTCACATGCCACAATTTCAACCCCATTGACTGCTTCCGTAATAACAACGTCAAGAGTATTGCCAAAAACTTGTGTGCCAAAGTTAACATTCTGCACCAAGCCCAAAGCGAATAATGAGTCCTTAAATTCTGATATCACGCTATTTTCTTCATTCAGATGTAAGTTCAAGTCACCCAGTGTTAGAAGATTGGAATATTGAGGCATTATCCCTTCCATGAATTGGAAAAAGTCAGAAATAAATTGTGAATTTGTTGACATGGCTGGTGGTCTATAAATGCCAATTACATGCATTGTAATGTTTTTTGAATACCAGTTGCCAAATACCAAATTCGAAACAATTTGTCACTCCAGATTTCAATTTCCTCATATTCACAACGGTGCGACAGATCAAAGCAATCCCACCGCCGATTCGTTTCTTTCGATTGGCTACACTAATTTTATAACCGTTTTGATTAAGGTCACTAGTTTCATATTCATGCTGATTTTCGTCCGAATACCAAGTTTCAGTGAGGAGGGCAAAATCAAGTTTCAATTTTAGTAGTATCTGACCAACACGAACATCCTTGTTTCGAACTGAATGACAATTAAGAGTAATGAAAGATACTTTTTCATTGAATCTATTATTCTGTGTATTGCATTTCTTTGGATATATGAGATTATGAGAGTTAATCCCATTTTGCTTTGTTAGAGGTTTTGATTGTCCACCCCTCTTTCTTTTCCTTTTTTTCCAGCCGGGGGCTACATCCAATTTATTTATTGTATAGAACACAGATTGATCAGTTTTATAATATCTCCAGTGGTTTGTGACATTTAATCCAAGGTTCAATAATTGATCACGGCTGTAGGCAATTTTGTTTCTTGACATAATTTTGGTTTGTAAAATGTCTACTCCATTATGATGCAAAAATTGTCTAAAATATTCAGTTGAAGTATGAGCAGCCCATATATATTTTGCATGAAACATCACCATAAATTTCTCTACAAAATGTATACAAACCATGCCTCTTAGAGAAATGAAAACAATAATCAACGAAAGGAAAGTGTTAATAGTGAAAAGTTGGAGAAAAGTAATAAAAGTGAAGAATATGGAGCAAGCATGCAAAGAAAGCAAATGAATTGGGAATCGCAAGTTGGAGCTGATGAGATAAATTCAGATTTATACATAGTTATAAACGATAAATGTGATAATTCATTTGCAGGAATCAAACGTGTAAACAAAAATGCTTCTGGCAATGATAGGGGTGTTTTATAGGGGTGTGGCCAAAGCACATTACAACTTTCAGAACTTAAGTGTGTTTGCTGGAATATTGAAGGATTGAACAATAAGATATTTGATAAAGATTTGATTGATTATCTCAAATCTTTTTATATTATAGGTTTTGTAGAAACATGGTTGTTAGAAAGTGACCAATTATTATCAAATGAATTGTATGAATACAATGAATATTTTATACAAGGTGTAAAACATTCAAAATATGGTCGTCCTATGATATGAATAAGTATTTTATTAAGAAATCTTTGAATATGTTTATAAAACAAGTTGTAACAAATTGTTAATTTTGCACATTTATTGTCATTGACAAAAATTTGTTTATTGATAGCTTAAAAGATAAAGTTATTTGTATTGTTTATTTACTTCCGGATGGTTCACCCTACTATGATAGACAAGAACTTATAGGTATTGACCTTCTTGAACATAAATTCTTAGAAATACAAGAAAAATATAATGTAGATGTATTTGTTGTGGGAGATTTAAACAGTCGTATTGGGAGGGAAATTGATAATCTTGGTTGCATAGATAATGCTCCTGTTTATGATGAATATAGGGATATATTAGATGATGAATATATACCAAAGAGGGTTAGTAATGATACAGGTGTAAATAAATTTGGCAAGGATTTTAAATTTTTGTAAATGTTACAATTTTACTATTGCAAATGGAAGATCTTTAATGATTGTTACCATGGGGCTTTTACTTATATAGGGCAAAATGGTAATAGTGTTATTGATTATTTAGTTGTGAGCCATGACACTAAAGATGATATTAGTGCATTTGAGATAGGTACAAGGAGTGAATCAAGTCATATGCCTATTGTATTTTCTATAAAAATAAAAAAAATCTATGTAGAAATGATACGATGGTAAGACTGAGTAATGAACAAATTGTTAGATATAGATTTTCAGAACAACGTAAAATAAAATTTTTGGAAAATATCGAGTTATTTCTCAATGACAATGTTGTTGAAAATTTAATTAAAGAATGTAGATGTACTAATGTAGACGAAAATCAAATAAAGTCTGAAATTGTTGATATTCTTCTAAAATGTGGTGAATGTTGCAAACAAGTAAATAAAATATCCAGTAATTATCAACCAGAGTGGTTTGATAAAAGCTGTAAAACCGCAAAATTTGAGAAAAATAAGCGCTTACGTGAGTATAGAAGAAATCCAAATGACAGTAATTTAAGTGAATATAAACAGACTAGGATTTTTTTCAAAAGTCAGTGTAAAAAAAGTAAAACAAATTTTTATAATTAACAATTAGATGAACTTACTGAAAATGTTAAAGACTCTAAATCATTTTGGAAAAAATTAAAGAAAATGGCAGGGAAAAAACAACAAATTACAAATTCTATTTCTAATGATAATTGGGTACAACATTTTGAGGAATTGTTTAAGTCAAATAATAATGATATTGAATGTATTGATATAACAGAAGTAGTTGAATGTTTAGATTCTGAAAGTCTTGATGAAATTAAGGAAGATATATTTAATGAAGAAATCTCATATGAAGAAATCTTGAAAACATTTAAATAATTGAAAAAAGGGTCTAGTAGTGGGGAAGGTGGTACTATTCCTGAGTTTTTTATTTTCTCAATTGACAAATTATTACCTATTTTGTATAACTATTTTAACAAAATTTATAATAAAGGTTTTTTTCCAGAATCATGGACAAAGTCCGTAATTGTTACAATTTGTAAGAAAGGTGATAGAAATAATCCAAATAATTATAGAGGAATATCTTTATCAAACATTTTGGGAAAGATATACACTGGAATACTCTCTAAAAGACTTGAACTTTTTTGTAAATCATTATGGAATAATCAATGAGGAACAGGCAGGTTTTAGGGAAGGGTATTCTACTGTTGACAATGCTTTTATTTTGCAATCTATTGTAAGTAAACAGTTACAAAAAAAATCGTGGTAAATTGTATGTAGGCATGATTGATTTTAAGAAAGCCTTTGATATGGTTAATAGAGATAAGCTTTGGAAAGTGTCAGAATAATCATACAGTGTCACTATAGATAGTTTTTTTTACAACGAGTCAGCGATACACTGAAGTGTATCATATTTCAATGTACAGTTTCATTTATAAACCTGTTGCTGGGAGTGTAAAATGTATGTACATGTTTAAATGTCAAATCGTTTAAGCTAGCAAATATGCGCGTTTTGAGAGAGATTTTACATCAGTTAGGAGAGACACGCTGATAGTGTGTAGCGGTTATTTTTTTATTGGAAAGAGAATTTTGTTGTTTTGAAGAGAATTTTGTTGTTTTGAAGTCAGTTTTGTTGGTTTGTTGAAGTGGTTGAATATAATTGTGGTGATCTTAATTGATCAGGGTTTATTGGTTGTAATTTGTTGTTTTGGTTGTTGAGTTATATCTGTTTGTGAAGATATAATTAGTTGATATTGGTTGAATGTTTGGTATTGTCAAGATTATATTAGTTGCTGCATTGTTTTGAGGATATATGTAAATATTGGGTGCTTTAGTTTAAGTTGTTTTCTGATGCTGATTAGATTGTGTGAAGTTAATATTGTTGTATGAATGTTTGTTGTTTATACCGTATCTTAGAGTTGTAAAAATATTCATTTTTTTGTGTTTTCCATTTTGTGGTAATTTTATTGTTGTTTGATCATAAGTTGTTTAGAGCTTGGGCTCGCCAGGTGTCTTGTTTCGTATAAAAGACGTATACGTGAAAAGATATTTCATTTAAGTGGCTGATAAATGATGTGTGTTTGTTTTGGGTGTAAATAATGATCAGAGTTCTTTGTTTTGGGTGTAAATAACAATCAGAGTTTGTTGTTTACATGTATATATTGATTTGAGATAGAAAAGGATAAAAATACCTAAATAAAGATAGTGTTAACTAAACAATTACATGCCAGTTTTCCAACTGAGAATATTTCACTTTTATGTCAGGCGGTGCTGCCCAGCCCCCATATCTTGGAAATTGGTTCCAGAATTTATTACTGAATCTTTCCTATGATTAAATAACATCAAGGCAGACATTTCTCCTGACAATTTTGGGGCTCGTCCGGGATATTCTCTTTAAGTTGGAATCTTTCATGGCAAATTATTGTTTGTTAAATTTTGATAAATGTTTTGTTAAACCTTTAACCATTTTTGATCTGTTGGTAAAATGTAGCAGTGTAAAATGCTGGTAGGCGAAAATCGATAAACCTTCGTTGTAGTGTTATACAAGTAAACTCTCTGTATAATAGAGTTTAAGTAGAGAATTATATGTACAGAAGCGGTGACGGCCTTTGTTTAAAAGTTATAACCGGTGTTCAGTGGGTGATTATTCATAAAAGTGTATGTCATAGTTGAATAGATAGTTTTTGCTGCCGGTGCTCAGTTGGTTGTTTTCTTAAAGTTTACATTGTTGTTAAACACTACAGGAAGATTATTATCGGTCCCCTGGTTGTTACTGTTGATACAAGTTCATTGCCGGTGCCCGGTAGGTGGCATTGTTATATAGAGATTTGATTTTGGTAAACAAGTGTCGGTGCTACAGAGGTACACCATTTTATTGAATAATAAGTGTTTATTTAACGGGTTTCGTAAAAGTTGATTATTTTATTGAATAGTAATCCATTATCAAGCAATTATGGATTATGATAAATGGGTATCATTGGGAGAGAGGCTTGGGTTGAAGGATGGGGATTTACGTGATTATGTTCAAAAGAAAGAATCAGAATATATTGATAGAGAAGAGAAAAATATTAGACGTGAAGAAGATAAACGGCGATTTGAGGCCAAGCGTAAAGCAAAAGAAGCTGAACGTGAAGTCGAACGTCTAGAAAAAGAAGCTGGACGTGAGGAAGAGAGACGGCGTTTTGAGGCAGAGCGTCTTGAAAAAGAAGCCGAACGTGAGGGAAAGAAACGGTTATTTCAAGCTGAAGTAGAGATGAAAATGAAAGAGCAAGAAATAGAATTGATGAAGTTAAAAATTGAGGCTGGGGATCGCCTTGATACCCCGTCTAGCACCGGTTTGAGGCAAAGATTGCCTAAATTTGAAGAGTCAAAAGATGATATAGATGCTTATATAGAGCGTTTTGAAAGATTCTCTATAAGTCAAGGATGGAAAGAAGATACATGGACAATAAGCTTAAGTTCTTTATTAACAGGGAAAGCTCTTGAAGTTTACACTAGTATGCCTCCTGAGCAAGCATCAGACTATCAAGAATTAAAAACAGCAGTATTGAAAAGATACCAATTAACAGAAGACGGTTTCAGAACGAAATTTAGAGAGAGTAAGCCGGAACAAGGAGAGACTGTAAACCAATTTATGGCTCGCAAAATTGCCTATTATTGATACTCCGTTCCAGAGAATTGCGGTTGATTTGATAGGGCCAATAACGCCTGTATCGGAAAAGGGAAATAGGTACATATTAACTGTAGTAGATTATGCTACACGTTACCCAGAAGCTGTTGCTTTACCTAGAAGTGAGACTGAAAATATAGCTGAAGCATTGTTAGATATTTTTGCAAGAGTAGGTTTCCCATCGGAAATACTTAGTGATAGGGGTAGTCAGTTCACGTCACAACTTATGGAAGAAGTATGTAGACTGACCGTTCCAAGGCGGCGCCCCACTGTTTTCCACAGATGTATGTCTATGTTGTTTCATACTGTTTTGGTGACACTTTTGCTTGTGTCCCTTGTTGTTTTCTCGTCTGCGGTAAGTATCTTCCCCATTGCCTCTAGTTTTTTTTATTTCTTTAATTAACCCCCCCCCCCTTCCCCCGGTCTCCTGTCCCCTTCCATTTGGTGGGCCTATTATTATTTTCTTTGAATTCCTAATCAGTTACAAATTGTTTATCATTTAATGATGAACCTGTCCGTGCTCTGTCTTTGCCCTGCCTGTTTTTGTTTGGGGTCCGCCTGGGCTCCTTGCCGTTGGTTCTTGTTGCTGGGTCGTGTGGGGGTTGCGGTCATTGAACGCCGCCTTTCCTTGTTGATCTTGTTTATCATAATTTGTATCACTGAAACAGTTGTTTACTACCCCTTACAATCCAAAATGTAATGGTCTTTGTGAGAGAATGAATGGTATTTTAAAAAGCATGTTGAAGAAAATGTGCCAAGAACGACATAAGGATTGGGATAGATATTTGTTTGCGGTTCTCTTTGCATACAGAGAAGTCCCTCAGTCAAGTACAGGGTTCTCACCATTTGAGCTACTATATGGCAGAACTGTTAGAGGTCCCATGCAAGCACTAAAAGAATTATGGACAGAGACAGAAGTACCAGAGACACGTAATACGTATGAGTACGTACTAGATTTGAGAAGTAGATTAGAACAAACATGCAAGATTGCTAGAGAGAATCTCAGCAACTCACAAGAAGAGTATAAACATCATTATGATAAGAAAACACGACCAATAAGTCTTAAGAAAGGAGACAAAGTTTTATTGCTCCTGCCTTCAACACACAATAAACTGATGTTACAATGGAAAGGTCCATTTGTTGTAAGTGTAGCAGTTAACAAGTTTGACTACAAAGTTAAAGTAGGTGATAGAATTGGAATGTACCACATAAATCTTCTGAAGAAATACGAAGAACGAGAAGATAGAATTTGTGCGAGTGTAGCTGTAATAGAAGCCGAAAATAATGATGATACTGGGGCTGTTGATGATGAACATCTTTTAGAACTAGTAGACACACAGGGTGAAGAGACGTACAGAGATGTTAATATTAATGATCAATTAACACTTGAACAAAAATCAGAAGTAAATGCGTTGCTTCAAGAATTTGAGGATATTTTTACTGACGTTCCTGGAACTACAGATCTTGAATCTCACAACATTGAGTTGACTGACAAAACACCAATTCGTGTTAGACAATATACGATACCATATGCAAAAAGGACAGCGGAAGAGGATGAAATTAAGAATGTGGTATCATCGAACCAGCAAATTCTGATTATAATTCTCCAATTGTTTTGGTGAAGAAAAAGGATAATACAAACCGCTTTTGTATTGACTTCAGACGACTCAATTCTGTAACAAAGTTTGAAACAATACCAATGGATAATGTTGAGGATGTGATGGCAAAGCTAAAAGAAGATAAGTTCTTCACAAAAATTGATTTGACCAAAGGTTTTTGGCAAATACCAATTGAAGCAAAATCAAGACATCTAACAGCATTTTCTACAACAGAAGGTAGTTACCAATTCAGAAAGATGCCATTTGGAATGGTCAATTCTGGTGCAACATTTAATAGAATGATGCGGAAGATGCTTTCCGGAGTGAATGATACTGATAACTATGTTGACGATGTGCTTGGACATATGGTTACATGGGAGAGACATATAAAAATGTTGAAACAGTTGTTCAAAAGAATACGAGAAGCAAAGATCACAGTTAAACCTTCTAAATGTATGATTGGATTTGAAAGTATACCATTTACCGGTCATGTTGTTGGCAAAGGACAAATGCAAATGGAAGATGACAAATTGATCAAAATTAGAGACGCTATGCGACCAGAGTCAAAGAAGCAACTCAGATCATTTCTTGGTCTAGCTGGATACTACAGAAAATTCATTGCTTCATTTGCAGAAATTGCTTCACCCTTGACTTATCTTACGAAGAAAGGACAGCCAAATAAAATCATATGGAAACCAGAACATGAAAAAGCCTTTACGACATTAAAGCAAGTACTGACACGATCACCAATACTACGACTTCCAGACTTTTCAAAGTCATTTGTTTTGCAATGTGATGCCTCAGATACCGGAGTTGAGGCTGCACTTTTTCAACAGTTTGATGATGGTCTGCTTCCAATAGATTACGCGAGTAAGAAATTGCTGATCAGAGAAAGAAACTACTCGGTTATCGAAAGGGAATGTCTTGCAATGGTATTCGGAATAAAGAAATTCAACAAATATTTGTACGGGAAAGAATTTGAGCTGCATACAGACCATGCTTCTTTAACGTATATTCAGAAATGTAAAGTAGAGAGTGGCCGCAAAATGAGATGAGCATTATTTCTACAGAACTATAAGATTAGAATAGTAGCTGTGAAAGGAAAGGACAACGTGTGTGCAGATTACCTAAGTAGACTAGATACCTGAAAAGAGACATTGTAGATTATTCCTTTTGTTTGAAAACAGTGGAGTGTTTTCTTGAGTAGGGGGCTGTCAGAATAAGCATACAGTGTCACTGTAGATAGTTTTTTTACAACGAGTCAGCGATACACTGAAGTGTATCATATTTCAATGTACAGTTTCATTTATAAACCTGTTGCTGTAAGTGTAAAATGTATGTACATGTTTAAATGTCAAATTGTTTAAGCTAGCAAACATGCGCGTTTTGAGAGAGATTTTACATCAGTTAGGAGAGATACGCTGATAGTGTGTAGCGGTTATTTTTTTATTGGGAAGGGAATTTTGTTGTTTTGAAGAGAATTTCGTTGTTTTGAAGTCAGTTTTGTTGGTTTGTTGAAGTGGTTGAATATAATTGTGGTGATTTAATTGATCAGGGTTTATTGGTTGTAACTAAAGTCTTGTTGTTTTGGTTTTTGAGTTATATCTGTTTGTGAAGATATAATTTGTTGATATTGATTGAATGTTTGGTATTGTCAAGATTATATTAGTTGCTGCTTTGTTTTGAGGATATATGTAAATATTGGGTGCTTTAGTTTAAGTTGTTTTCTGATGCTGATTAGATTGTGTGAAGTTAATATTGTTGTATGAATGTTTGTGGTTTATACCGTATCTTAGAGTTGTAAAAATATTCATTTTTTTTGTGTTTTCCATTTTGTGGTAATTTTATTGTTGTTTGATCATAAGTTGTTTAGAGCTTGGGCTCGCCAGGTGTCTTGTTTCGTATAAAAGACGTATACGTGAAAAGATATTTCATATAAGTGGCTGATAAATGATGTGTGTTTGTTTTGGGTGTAAATAATGATCAGAGTTCTTTGTTTTGGGTGTAAATAATAATCAGAGTTTGTTGTTTACATGTATATATTGATTTGAGATAGAAAAGGATAAAATACCTAAAAAAAGATAGTGTTAACTAAACAATTACATGCTAGTTTTCCAACTGAGAATATTTCACTTTTATGTCAGGCGGTGCTGCCCAGCCCCCATATCTTGGAAATTGGTTCCATTATTTATTACTGAATCTTTCCTTAGATTAAATAACATCAAGGCAGACATTTCTCCTGACATAAAGTTCTGTGTAAAAATGGAATTGAAGGAAAATTATATAGGGCAATAAAATCTATTGATCATTCAGTTAAATCTTGTGTTAGAACTTCAGAAGGTATGACAAACTATTTTAATTGTGACAATGGACTTAAGCAAGGCTGTTTGATTTCTCCAACACTTTTTATTATCTATATAAATGAACTTATAAATTTGAAAAATAGTGAAATAAATGGAGTTCAGTTATTTCTTGAAAATACTGAAATTCTGTCTCTTCTTTTTGCAGATGATTTAGCCCTTATTAACGAAACAGTTGTAGGTTTACAAAGATTGCTTAATAATCTTGAACTTTTTTTGTGATGAAAATGGCTTAGAGGTGAATATTGAAAAAACCAAGATATTAGTATTTAAAAAGGGAGGTAGACTTTCTAATAAAGAGAAATGGTATTATGATGGTAAACTATTGGAAACTGTTTCTAAATTTTCATATGTTGGTGTAACAATGTCAAGACAGATGTCAATATTTAAAATGGCTGATGAACAAGCCATTAAAGGAAAAAGAGTTCTTATTCCTATTTTATCAAATCTTTACAAATATGGTCAGCTTAAAAAACATGTATATTTTAATATATTTGATACTAAAATAGTTCCAATATTATGCTATGGATCTGAATTGTGGGGGTCGATTGAACATAAAAGTATAGAAACCGTACATAATTATGCATGTAAAAGATACATGTGAGTTAAACCATCAACTGCAAATGTTTTAGGAGATTGTGGCCGTTTTCCATTGTGCATAACTACTGCATCAAGAGTTTTAGTATATTGGTTAAAGATATTAAGTTTATAAAATGATCGATATGTGAAACAATGTTATAATATGTTACTTACATATGATAGGAATGGAATGAAAAATTGGGCTACTAACATTAAACAACTACTATATACAAATGGTTTTGGGTATGTTGGGAATAACCAGGGAGTTGATGATAAGAAATTGTTCCTAAAAATATTTACAGATAGAATGAGAGATCAATATATTAAGCAGAACTGGCATGAAAAAATAAATCAAAGTAAAAAGTTAGATTCATATCGTTTGTATAAATCTGAATTTATCCATGAGACATATTTATCTGTTGTTTTAATTCGTAAATTTAGAAATGCACTTGCAAAATTACGTACTTCATCACATGATTTAAATATTGAGAGAGGTAGATATAGACAAGAAGAGAGATCTGAGCATATATGTAATTTATGTAAAGTTTCAGTAGAAACAGAATATCATTTTGTAATGATATGTACGGCTTATTAAAATTTAAGATTAAAATACTTACCAAGCAAATATTTTGTTAATCCTAATATTCATAAATTTAATATCTTAATGAGTTGTCAAGCTGAAAATATTATAGATAATTTGGCAAAGTTTGTGTTCCATGCCTTTGAAGAAAGAAAAAGATTATTATGTATTAGAACATGAATAAATATGATAAACACCACTAGATAGTGAGAAGATTTTATTTAACATAATAATATAATGTACTATATTCCATTGTATGAAATTGTATTGCTATGTTTATGTTGTTTTGGGCTAGAGGCCTTGAATCAATAAACTCTTTGTCATTGTCATAGAGGCGGGAGTCATTTAGTTTAAATTTATGAAGAAAATAACATTTATTCAAGTCTTCCTGTTTGAAGGTACATTTCTTTGAGCGAAAGCATTTTATAGCAGGTATCTACACTCTACAACTTGGGTGAAAAATGACAAACAAAATATTTCACACTTACTGAGATAAACATTGAAAATAAAAGCAAAGTTCTCAGGTGAGCAATCAATGTACATCACGGTCGTCTTTCTTTTCTTTATAGATAGATTTATGTTTGGAAAAAATTACACAAATAAGATATTTTGAATAATTTCGATATGACCATTACTTCAAAACGATTTGGACTGTCAAGGCCAAATTATGGAAAATTGCATAAATCAAGATAACGAAGTCAATTATTTACAGATTGCATTTATAATTGTCCACGACACAAATGAAAAATATTTGCCACCCCTTTTTATAAGTTCGCCGTCTGCATCCAAAACTTAAAGTCATTCGTAAATTTAATTAGATAGGAAGAGTATGTATTTTAGTTGTTTTGATCGTCAAATAGATATAAGTCATCAGAATCATCCAAAGTGTTTATATTTTGAATTGCTTGTATACCCACAATAATTTGTATTGAAATTTACTTCAAATGACAGACGCTTATAAAGGTTAATTAAAATCAGTTTCAAGAAACGTTTTATTCTTTTGGCCAATCAAAATCATTGCTTTTATTCACTGCGGAGATGATGCTTCGCCAGCATATAAATAGAGCGTGTTCAGTGTTAAAATTCAGTCTGGTCCTGTCCGTTGGAGAGTGAAAACTAAGTCATACATACCTACTGGTACACATAAATCTCAGACTTCTGGTACTGAGGACGATTTATGATTTGTGCAAAATTCCTTTTACATTAATTATTTTAAGTTGGTTTGAATATGTATGTGTATAGAAGGGAACGACGTTGTAAATACATACTAGTGTACAGAAATCGCAGATATCTGGCACTAAGGACGTTTTAATATATCAGTCAAATTTCTGAGTAATTGTTTAGTTTAATTTGAACTAAGTCAAGGACAATAAACTACAATTACTAAAAAGATCAAATAGATCCAAGCAAAACTATTGGTGCATAAATCACATGGTGACCAATATTCCTGTTAAGTGTCATGACTCTAGGTCAATTGTTTGTTGATCTGTGCGCAACAAGTTGAA